GCATGCGCTTTGAACATCTTGGTGACTTTGCAGATGTTGAACAGGCCATTGCTATGCAGCAAAAAGCAGTGCAGCTGACACCAGATGATCACGCAGACAAGCCTGCCATGCTCACCAATCTTCCAGCCTCCTTCTTCAAACGCTATCAACATCTTGGTAACCTTGCAGATCTTGACCAGGCCATTGCTGTGCAGCAAAGAGCAGTGCAGATGACACCAGATGATCATGCAAACAAGCTTGCCATGCTCATTAATCTTGGATCATTCTTCTCCAGCTGCTTTAAACATCATGGTAACCTGGCAGATCTGGACCAGGCCATTGTCATGCAGCAGAGAGCAGTGCAGCTGACACCTGATGATCATGCAGCCAAGCCTATCAGGCTCAGCAATCTTGGAAACTCCTTCTGGAGTCACTTTAGACATCTTGGGCACCTTGCAGATCTTGACCAGGCCATTGCTATGCAGCAAAAGGCAGTGCAGCTAACATCAGATGATCATCCAGACAAGGCTATCATGCTTAACGGTCTTGGAAACTCCTTCACTACTCGCTTTGAACATCTTGGTAACCTTGCAGATGTTGATCAGGCCATTGATGTACAGCAAAAAGCAGTGCAGCTGACACCTGATGATCATGCAGCCAAGCCTAGCATGCTTAGCAATCTTGGAGCCTCCTTCAGTAGTCGCTTTAATTATCTTGGTAATCTTGCAGATATTGAACAGGCCATTGCTGTGCAGCAAAAAGCAGTGCAATTAACACCAGATGATCGTGAAGACAAGCCTAGCAGGCTCAACAATCTTGGAACCTCCTTCTTCTATCGCTTTCAGTATCTTGGCAACCTTGAAGATGTTAATCAGGCCATTGCTATGCAGCAAAAAACAGTAGAGCTGACACCAGATAATCATGCAGACAAGCCTGCCATGCTCACCAATCTTGGAGTCTCCTTTTTCAGACGCTATCAACGTCTTGGCAACCTTGCAGATGTTGACCAGGCCATTGTCATGCAGCAGAAAGTAGTGCAGCTGACATCTGATGATCATGTAGCCAAGCCTAGTGCACTTAGCAACCTTGGAAGCTCCTTCTGGAGTCGCTTTGAACATCTTGGTAACCTTGAAGATCTTGATCAGGCCATTGCCATGCAGCAAAAAGCAGTGCAGCTGACACCAAATGATTATGCAGAAAAGTCTGGCTGGCTTAACAATCTTGGAGCCTCCTTGTCCAGTCGCTTTGATCGTCTTGGTGACCTTGCAGATGTTGATCAAGCCATTGCTATCCAGCAGAAAGCAGTGCAGCTGACACCTGATGATAATGCAAATAAGCGTCATATGCTCAACAGTCTTGGAGCCTCCTTCTTCAGCCGCTTTAAACATCTTGGTAACCTTGCAGATATTGACCAGGCCATCACTGTGATGCAACAAGCAGTGCAGTTGACACCTGATGATCATGCAGCCAAGCCTGACATGCTCAACAATCTTGGAGCCTCCTTCTTCTGGCGCTTTAAACATATTGGTAACCTTGCAGATAAAGACCAGGCCATTGCTGTGATGCAACAAGCAGTGCAGTTGACACCTGATGGTCATGCAGCCAAGCCTAGCATGCTCAGCAATCTTGGAAACTCCTTCTTGAGCCACTTTGAACATTCTGGTAACCTTGCAGATGTTAATCAGGCTATTACTATGCTGCAAAAAGCAGTGAAGCTGACACCAGATAATCATTCAGACAAGCCTGGCATGCTCACCAATCTTGGAAACTCCTTCAATAGTCGCTTTGATCATCTTAGAAACCTTGCAGATATTGAAGAGGCCATTGCTTTGCAGCAAAAAGCAGTGCAGATGACACCAGATAATCATGCAGATAAGCGTAGCAAGCTCACCAATCTTGGAACCTCCTTCTTCAGCCGCTTTAGACATCTTGGCAACCTTGCAGATCTTGATCAGGCCATTGATGTGCAGCAAAAAGCAGTGCAGCTGACACCAGATGATCATGCAGACAAGCCTAGCAAGCTCAACAGCCTTGGACACTTCTTCTTCAGTCGCTCTCAACATCTTATTGACCTGGCAGATGTTGACCAGGTCCTTGCTATGCAGCACGAAGCAGTGCAGCTGACACCAGATGATTATGCGCACATGCCTAGCAAGCTCAAAAGCCTTAAACGCTTCTTGGAGAGCTGCTATAAACATCCTGATATTTACTCTGCACTGGAAAAGGCAATAATTCAATATTCATTAGCTGCTAAGTCATCCACTGGCCCTTTTTCTGTGAGGTTCCATGCTGGTCAAAACTGGATTAAATGTGCTTATGCATTGCA